AACTCTTCTATCCACGCCTTGGCGGCCCAAGTGGAAAGGAGCTCGAGGCAGGCGCGAGCTGCTGAAGAGGCTCTTCGTGCTGCCGAGACGACTTCCCGAGCTGCTGAGGCGGCTGCTCGTGCTGCAGAGGCCAGGCAGGCGAGGTCTCAGAGAGATGCCGAATCCATGAGAGTCGTAGTGAAGCACATGGCGGACCTGAGGCTGGATTTGCAGCATCAGGTCGAATACCTTCAGGAGGACATTAGGGAGAGGACGCAGATCTATTCTCAAGGTATTGAAGATGCCAAGAAAAAGGCTATCGATGAGTACATCGCCTCRCCGAGCTTTGACGACCTAATGGTGGATTCATACCAAAGGGGTTTCAAGCTAAGCCGGTGGATGATCCGGAATACGTACCCCGAGCTCGATATTAGTGCCATATCCACTTGCAGGACTCGAGCTGGTCGCCCCTCGCTACCCCCACACCGAAGTCTGTAGGGAACTTCATTGCCAAATAGTATGTGGAGACCACTGCCCGTAGGATATGCATAATTGGCCGCCCTATTATGGCATTGTATGGGGAAGGGGTCGCGACCACCAGGAAATCATGGTTGAGTCTGACCACACAAGGCCATGTGCCGACTTCCACAGGTACTGTTATTTTTCCGAGGGGCCTGACTTCCTCTCCGCTGAAACCCACCAGAGGAGTGTTCGCGGGCTTCAGCTCGCTCTTCTGTAACTGTAACTGGTCAAATGCTGACTTGAAGAGGATGTCCGCTGAGCTGCCCGAATCCACGAGTACACGCCTGACCTCGAAGTCGCTGATCCTTAGTTTAATGACAAGCGTGTCATCGTGGGGGTAGTGGACCCCTCGCGCATCGTCTTCCGTGAAGAAGATCGGCTCTTCAGTCTTTGGTCTCTTTGGGGGGTTCTGTTCCTCTTGGGCTGCTTCGCGAACTAACGTCTGGGCCGCTGCCGAAGTACACCCTGCTACCACCGAACCTCCCACAATTACATGGATGGTTCCCCGAACTGGCCTCTCTTCCGGAGGCTGTCGGTGCAACGGTTCAGCTGGTCTGTTGCTAGATTCGGGGGCATCCTTTCCGTGCTCCCCTTGCCGTCCTGCCTTATTGTTATTATTATTATCATACTGTACAAAATTCCTTAAGTATCCGCGACGGATGAGTTCCTCTATCTCGTCCTGGAGATTATTACACTGTTCGGTACTATGATTGTGGTCTCTATGGAAACTATAGTACAAATTTTTATTTCTCTCGTTCGGATTTCCCTTTAGGCGAGGTGGCCACTTTACGTATGGGGCGTCCTTGATCGTCATTAAGATCTCGGTCCGCCTCGTGTTTAACAGCGTGTAATCTGTCCGAACTGCTAAGGGAGCTCGAAATGACTGGTTCGGCTTCGGCTCCCGGGCCGGGTTTTTTCTATCG